AGCCCGCATGGCTGGCTGGGGAATTCTTGGAGTGGAAGGCCCCCCATCTTAAAGATGGTGTGGTTGGGAAACAGTGGTTTACAGGAAAGAGGGAAGTGACTGCAATTTAATAATCTCTTCAGGAAAGTACAGACAAAGAGGGAACATGGAGTCATGTTCAAAGGTTGGGGAAAAGAAACTTTATAGCGACAGACATACTATTCTAAATTACAGTGTTTATTGTTGTGGTGCTTTTAGGTAATTTGTGCAGATTTCCTATAAATAAAGTACCCTTGGCTTATCAAACTGTCCTTCTACAGTTCTATACACACATTTCCAAAGGGAGTTTTCTGGAGTCTGTCATCTGTTTCACTCCCTGAGTCACGAAGTTTTCTCAGAACTTCCATTTCTGGGCCCACTTGTAGCTGAGAGGAAAGAAAAGGAAGCAGGAAAAATAACCCCTTACTAGGTTTTTTGGGTTCTAGCAGCCTGAGCAAGCTATTTCTACCAATGTCCCCCAAAAACTGCAGCTGATCCATTCAGCAGATCCCTCCCTCCCCGGTCCTGCCTGCTCCTGCTGAGCTGCAGATTCTTCCTCCTGTTCCTTGATAGACACAGGATCTCTAGTCCACGTAATACAAAAAGAGCTCTAAGAAAATCCAGCAACCTCCTCCATGGCTTAACACTTCTGCCTTGTTTTCAGATGCAAGACAGATGTGCAGCTTCTTGCTGTCTATGTGACGCTGAGCCTTGTTTTGGCACACACCCAAAGCTTTAGCCTTGAAACCTTAACATCATGCCCTGTTCACCGGGGCAATTCACCCTGAACTTTCTAGCTGTACCCCATGGCATGCTATCTCCTTCCAATATGATCTGGTCACACTCACGGTAATGAAATGTATAGAGCAGTGTTTCTCAACCTTGGCAACTTGAAGATGTCTGGACATCAACTCCCAGAATTCCCCATCCAGCATCACATGGGAATTCTGGGAATCGAAGTCCAGACATCTTCAAGTTGCCAAGGTTAGAAACACTGGTACAGAGACTTTTACAAGCAAGGTAGAAGCTGCTGACTTACACAAGCAAGATTAAAGTTTTGTTATTTCATTATATTAATTTCTGTTTTACTGCCAAGTGACTGACTTTACAGCTTTTGAGAAAGAAGGCTGCTGATGAAAGAAGCATAATTTACTTGTCTGAAAGATCTATCATTTATTGAAATGCTGTGATTTAAGCTTGTAACTCCTTATTACCTTAAAATGTGTTATACTTCCCTGATGAACTGAAAAGTATTAAAGTATGCTTTTCAGTACTTTCTAAAACCATAAAAAATAACCCCATAATCCTCTTTAATTTAAGTGAATTAGAGCTCTGTAGTAGGCACTCAAAATTGCTTGACATTACCCGATACTTAATTATGCTTTTTGCTTGCTGTTATGAATATGTATTTTTCTGTGTTATTTAGCACTGATTCTTCCACATTAGGTGGAAAGGAATTATTCTGAATATACCACTTTTATAACAAATTCATTTCAAACAATTTGTTTAATGTGTGCTAAAGTTTGTTTGACATAATTTTGTAATCTGTGTTAAAGAAAACCCTCTAATGCTTTTAAAAAAATGTCACAAAATAAACCTTGCAGGCATCAAAATATTTTTTCATATGTGCATTCAGCTACCTGCTTAATTCAACTGCAGATGACATTTTTGCACAGATTAGACTACTTAAGAAAACAAGCTAGAAGAAAATAATCATTTAGATTTGCTGGAGTAAATCCAGGGCTGTATGTTCACATGCACATCCAGAAACCACTGTACAGAAAATGACTTAAGACTGTGAAATGAGAAAGGATAGCCATGGGATGAATGCATAGAAATAAAAGAGCAGTTGTATCAGGCAGATCACCCACAAAAACTGAGCAAACAAAGTCTCTTCCCCAGTTGGACATAAAATGCCCCCATTTACTGTGGCTTCTGCTTCTTGGATTAGCCATGTGCAGAGTTCCGTCCAACCAGGACAGAAGGTAATGTGATGACATCATCAGAACCAGAGGTGTCTGCAGAATACAGTCCTAAAAAAGAGGCGGAGCTTCAACTGTACTGCAGTGACCACCATTTTGACTTTTTTGACCACAATCTGTGCACACCCCCGACTAGACCACAATAAAGAAAAGCACAGGTTTCACTCAAGCAAAAGCCACTGGTGATTTTGAAAAGTGCTGAACATCAACAAAACTGGTCAGAAAAGACAACTAGAAATGAAACCCTTTCATCTGAGCACAGTGGCTAAGGGGTGCATTGTTACCTGCATACCAGTCGGTTAAGGATAAACCTCAGTTTTTGTTTTAACTCGTGTAGATATCTGTAAGCCCCAAAGCGTCAATCACATTTAAATGTCATCCTGATTATGGATCTCAGAAACAACTGCCAAAAATCAGAAGGTGCTATAAGCTGTTCTTCAACAAGAATGATTGATTTTTTTTTTTAAAGGATTCATACAGAAAGCCTGTATTAAATAATTCATTTCACTGTTCTGGAAATATTTCCTAATACTGCAGTATGTTTGCATATGTCCGTGATAAAATGACTATGGGCTGGATGAAGCTCAGTGAGAATTAGAATACCTGTTTCTAAATAACAGGAAAAAAGGGAGTGTCAACCACTTTATTGAACGTCATAATTGTTCAGCAGTATCGTTTCATTGTTTAAATAAAAGAACTGAAAAGAGCAAGGATATCAAAAAGTATGAAAGCCCAAGCATTCATAGATGAATAATTTATTTAAGGAAATAAATAATAAGTAATGAAATCAATAACTGCAAATGTCAGAAGCAAACATTAGGAATGACTACGTACAACAGTCTGCAGACTCAAATTTTGCCGAGAATGCTGAGTTTGAATTTAGGGAGATTTTTATGGCCATTTCAAACAGAGATGAAGTTCAAACCCCCTTATTATGGAAAATCATCTTGTAAAATGACCAGTAGATGCCCATCACAATAAGCAATGCTGTATTGTGCAAAGGTTATGTTAAGTTAAAGAATGTTAAGCACTCAGCTATAAAAATTAATGATTGGAAAGAAAAAGAAATCAAAGGAAATCTAATTCACACCCAGTCCACTCACTGGATCTTTTGAACACCTTTTTGTCCTGGTTCTTCTGTTTAAAATAGAGCTTCTCCAACTTTCTGATCCCCTAAAATGATAAAGGGGCCCAATGAATTCAGACAAAGTGGGAGTCGTTAAAATCTGCTCTGGGTTTTGCTTAGCTTTGCAACCCTCCCCACCCTAGAGAGCTGGAGTTTTTTCTCTTTATTACCCTTTTCTTTTCAGAATTCAAGGCACCCTATTGGGAGGAGTCTCCCCTCATTTTAATCCCGATGCAACAACAATCCTGTGCGCTAGGCTGGACTGGGAAGGAGGGATTAGTTTACGGAACACTGTTGTTGGACTCAAATTTAGGTCTCCCCAGTCCAAGTTCCATGCTTTAGACTCTGCCCTTGGCTAATTTCATAAAGACTTGATAACGTAATAGATCACAGCTCTCATGGTTGGTATAAGATCAAGGTTTTCTTAAAGGCAGCGATAGCATGCTAGAGTTTCCTCTCGGGAGTCAGCTGCAACTTAGAATTAGTTCCCTTCTTGGAACTACTCCTGGTTATCTTGCTTGGCACTTAATGGGGGGGGGGGGGGGGCAGAGAAAATGGGAGAAAATATAAATGGAACACAATGATTTATTAAAATATTTTGTTATCTTTATTAGCAGCAACAAACAATAGACACATGAGAAAGAAGTAATACAAATGGAACAAAAAAAAAATGATATTTAGCAGTGTTTCTCAACCTTGACAACTGTAAGATGGGTGGACTTCAACTTCCAGAATTCCCCAGCCAGCCATGGGGAGTTGAAGTCCACACATCTTACAGTTGCCACGGTTGAGAAACACTGCTCTAACTTCTTGGGTGGTATAAAAATATCTGGTAGAAAGCAGCTCTCTGCATTACATGATCATATTATCTGTTGGATCTCTCTAAATCTGATGAGAGTTCACTCTTCTGTCTTCCCCCTGTAGAGAAACCAGAACAATAGAAAGGGCGGGGGGGGGAGTTCGTTATTAAAACGATGGAGGAATGTGTATTTCATGGAGAAGTAAGCTGTACCTTATAACAGAAGTCAGACTGAGAATGCTTTGCATGATTTTTCTTGACAACACCAAGGAGAAAGATCAAACAAATGTTGTTTTGATTAAAGAGTGAGGTGGTACAAACAGTCACATTTCCTGCCAGAATGCAAGCAGGGAGGCCCATCCTGGCAAATGGGGAAAGCAGCCAAGTTGTTGCTCTACTACAGCCACCCTGTTTCTGTCTCTCCAGCTTTCATATCATTAACTATTAAGGTTGTTCATGCTTCAAAAATGATTTGGGCCTCGTATAGGAACACCACCTTTCTGCTGTTCACAGGCATCTGCAGGAGGGATTAAAAATGTCAAGGTAGCAACCATGGCCATGTGATTGAAGTCCCACCCCCGTTTAACCTGGAGAACTTTGCAAGTGCGGTTCTGACCACCATCTTGACTTTTTTGAACCCTCCTGCGGACGGCCCTGCCCCTGTTCGTTAAAGCAGGTCTTCTTTTGACAAGCTTCAGCACTAGCCTGAAAAGAAAAACCACTGCTGTTTTAATTTTAATGAGTGGATTCCTTAAAGCAGCTACCTTTTCCAGGTTCCCATAAAAGTCTTTTTAATGATTAACAGAGAGATGCTGGGCTTGCATAACATCCAAAGCACTGCAGAGAGTTGGACTACAAGAACCTCGTGGGGTCTTCCAGCTCCATAATTCTGTGATTCTATGGAAGGAGCCCATCATTTGTTTTCACTACCACTTGATAATTTATGTTCTTACCAAAAATGTGGCCCCCACCATTGGCCATTGTCTCCCCCCCCCCCAGGTCTTTGGGGTTACTGCAGTATTTCTCAACCTTAGCAATTTTAAGATGCTGGCTGGGGAATTCTGGGAGTTGAAGTCCACATATCTTAAAGTTGCCAAGGTTGAGAAACACTGGGTTACTGGCTGTCTTAGTGGGCAGAGCAATTTTTGACGTGCAACTTTTGACTTTTTTGACATGCAACCTTTTACGTTTACTATTCCCTGTGGACATCCCAGAGGCAGGAAGAAAGTTGGGAGTTCCTGTCCCCTGGGATCCAGCTGCTGATGGCCACAGATGAAAGGCACCCTCGTTATCTTCACCATGGCCCCTCAGGATCAGTAGCTGAGCTTATTAACCTCAGAAGTTAATTAGTTTAGAGGGAAAGATTGTCTGAAGGTTCATGTTATCATTGGAAGACTAGTGGTGGCTTTGATCTCTGAAAGACATAGCCCTCGCATTTGGAAGTGACCTCTAATTAGAATATTTTTATTATTTTTGGAAAGACTTAAATCACCACGAGTCATTTTCTTATTAATTTGCAAAGCATATGCAATATCCCTTTACCAATGCAACCAAGGGTCATCCAAGACTTTGCATATGGCTACAGCTCTATTACGATCTTCTATTTTTCTAGTTCCTCCTTTATAAATTATATGCTATACTCCATTCTGTATTATATCTAGCTCAGCAACAATACCATGATTTCAGGAGCAAACTGCGCAGGCGGTGTGGTTGGGGTTTCTAGTACACTGAAGCAACTGTGCCGGCCTGTTGTAAAACAGTAACAAAATACACAAATAAATCCACATATATATGGCAGGTATCTTAGTCAACTACAGTCTCCAAAATTATAGGGTACATCCACCCAGAAGATGTACAGATCTAATTTATCAATGTCTTCACAACATTAGAAAAGTTTCTAGTTATTGATATAAATAGAATAGGACATTTTTATGTACACTGTTATGAGGCAAACTTATGGAACACAGCTTAATTTTTCAAAATTTTCAATTTAATAGACAAAACGCAAATAAGAAACAAAGAAAAAATACAGAGCAAACAAAAAAGGCGGCTATTCTGCATGAGAGAAATCATCCAAACTATTTTTGAACGCAACACTAAAACTTCACCACAGACATAAACTTAGTCTGTCTCTCCATCACATCAGTAGAGAGCTCGCTCATAAATGGAAAGTGAACACACATCCAAGGTTGTAGGTTTGGGGTCAAACTATCTTTCCAGCACTGAATAATGATTTGTTTGGCTATTTCCTCCTAGATAATCCCATAATTCTTTATATGATGAAAAGTTTCAAGTTTGGGGTCCATCATTCAAAAATGCATTTGAAACTTTAATCTTTGATCTTGATGACACCATATTAATAAACTTATGGAAAAGCTGTTTATGAAAGCTTTGATTCCCCCACCTATCTACATGTTGCTTATCTGATTCTGTATATGTACACATTACAACCATATACTGGAATTATTTTCATACGATTTATTGTGACCTCTGGGAATGTTGATCAGTGAGGGAGGAGCAGTGGATATAACCTTTATCATTTGATTCCTTTTCTTTTATTGCATTAACTTTTATTGCATTAACTGTAGTTTAAACAGTATCCTTAAAGATTACAATGACTGATACCCGTTAATTAAAATAATAATAATATCTCCAAGTGATAAAGCAGAAACTGTTTTTCTTGAGGTTTCTGTGGACGAAAATTCTGCATCATTTCTGTAACGTTTATGTTGTTAACTTAACCGATGCACAGAAATTACCTGTAATTGTCTTCGCAGGACACACTTATATTATGGTTTTTCAAGATCTCTTTCAACTGTGCAATGGAATGTCCTGTGCAAGATTCCCTGGCGAGAGAAACCCATTATACGTCAGTTCCAAGTACTTATCGTCTCTGTAATAGTCACAGGAGGTTGCATATAAGAAACAGCAAAATCCTTCCAGAACATAAAAACTGGTGCCTGGTTCCTGAATACATATGTTTAAAATGTAAAAAACTGGTGAGGCCCCATTTGGAATACTGCATCCAGTTCTGGTCACCACAATATAAAAAAAGATGCTGAGGCCCTAGAAAGAGTGCAGAGAAGAGCAACAAAGATGATACGGGGTCTGGAGGCTAAATCCTATGAAGAATGGGTAAAGGAACTGGGTATGTTTAGCTTAACAAAGAGAAGACTGAAGGGAGACATGATAGCAGTCTTCCAATACTTGTAGGGCTGCCACAGGGAAGAGGGTGTTGATTTATTCTCCATAGCACTGGAGGGAAGGACAAGAAGCTATGAGTGGAAGCTCATCAGAGGGAGATCCAACATGGAAATAGGAGGAATTTCCTGACAGTGAGAATTATTAAGCAGTGGGACAGCTTGCCTCCCAGAGTTGTGGGTTCTCCATCACTGGAGGTTTTCAACAAAAGATTGGCAACCATTTGTCCAAGATGGTATGAGGACTGCTGCCTTGGGTAGGACTAGAAGACCTCTAAGGTCCTTCCAACCCTATGATTTTATGAAAAATCACCCTACTGCCTTCAGGGTAGGGGAGCAAGGCCCACAAGGCTGAGAGTCTGTCCCGCGCCCTCTGTCCCTAAGGTCTAACTACCTCATTTCTGAGAACCTGAAGCAGCACTAATCAGTCTTGCCCCCAACATCCACCTTTTGAGTGAACCCAGGAAAAGGCTTCAGTACAAATATACAGAGAGGGTTTTTTTTAATTGCAAGCATTTTTTTTCTCCTTATACTGCATTGCGCATATAGATGCCACGTTTGCAATATTTGCAGAGGGTTTTGCAGCATCACCAGTACAATTACAGGAAATGTAAAATCAGGCTCAACTGGGAGTGGAGGGTGGAGATCCAGAACAAGAAATGGGAAAAAGAAAAGAACAAGACATGAAAAAAGCTATGGATCCTAAGGTTTAGATTAATAACTAAGGGGATCCTCAGAAGTTTTATACAATTTCAGAATATAAAAGAAGTTACTGTAAATATATTTTTGATCCTCGCTCTGTGTATTTTTTTAAAGGTTCTTCTTTTCATCATGACTCTACTTTTTTGTTCTTTCCATGCTACCCTCCTTTCTAAGCCCCTTTCTTGTTCTTTTTACAAACCCAGCCTAGATTATTGAAGTAATTCTCATTATCCAATATGGCAAAAGAACAGGGATGATCAGAACCCTTATCCCTTTTCTCACTCATCTATTTTTATTTCCTGGTTTTCTTTTCTTTCCCTTTTTTATGTCTCAGGGTTACTTTGGAATAATAATAATAATAATAACAACAACAACAACAACAACATCATCATCACCACCACCACCACTACTACTGTTTGTCATTGCATTGATTCCTATGTCAACAATACTGAACAAGTCAGGCCATGGCTAT